TCAATTTCCTTCTTAGCTTCTTCATTGACCCCTTAATCATTTAGGAACGGATCGTTGACTTTCCATGTATTTGTATAGTTTCCAGAATTCCTCTTGTTACTAATTTTTAGTTTTATTCCACTGTGGTCTGACAAGATGTTTGATATTATTTCATTTTTGTTGAATTTTTTTTATAACCTAACATATGGTTTGTCCTTGAGACTAATCCATGTGCTGAGGAAAGGAATGTGTATTCTCTAGCCATTGGGTGAAATGTTCTGTAAATATCTATTAGCTCCATTTGGTTTATAGTGCAGATTAAATCTGTGTTGTTGTTGTTGTTGTTGTTGTTGAGTTTCTGTCTGGAAGATCTGTCCAGTGCTGAATGTGGGGTGCTGAAATGTCCATCTATTATTGCATTGGGACCTATCTCTCTCTTTAATAGTATTTGGTTTATATATCTGGGTGCTCCGGCGTTGGGTGCATATATATTTAAAATTGTTATAGGCTTTTGATGAATTGACCACTTTATTATTATATAGTGACATTTTTGTCTCCTCTCAAAGTTTTTGTTTTGAAATCTGTTTTTCTTTATTTTTTAAAAAAATCTTTTATATTAAGTTCAGGAGTACATGTGATGTAGGTTTGTTTTACAGGTGAACTTGTGTCATGAGGGTTTGTTGTACAGATTCTTGTGTTTTCCAGGTATTAAGCCTGGTACTCATGAACTATTTTTCCTGATCGTCCCATCCCTCACTCTTTGGTAGGCCCCAGTGTCTGTTGTTCTCCTCTGTGTCAATTTTTTTTCTAACTTTTAGCTCCCACTTTTAAGTGAGAACATTCAGTATTTAGTTTTCTGTTCATGCATTACTTTGCTAACTATAATGACCTCCAGCTCCATCCATGTTCCAACAACGGGGATAATGTCATTGGTTTTTATGACTGCATACTATTACATGGTATATATGCACTACATTTTCTTTACCCAGTCTACTATTGATGGGCTTTTAGGTTGATTCCACGTTTTTGGTATTGTGAGCAGTGCTGCAGTGAACATACGCATGCATGTGTCTTTATGATAGAACAATTTATATTATATTCCTTTGGCTATATATCCAGTAATGGGATTGCTGGATCAAATGTTAGTTCTGTTTTTAGGTCTTTGGGGAATCACCACACTGTTTTCCATGGTTGTTGAACTAATTTACACTTCCACCAACAGTAAATAAGTGTTTCTTTTTCTCCACAACATCACCAGCATGTTATTATTATTATTATTTTTTACTTTTTAGTGATAGCCATTCTGACTGGTGAGAGATGATATCTCATTGTGGTTTGAATTGCATTTCTGTAATGAACAGTGACGTTGAGCTTTATTTCATATGCTTGTTTGCCACATCCATGTCTTCTTTTGAAAGTGTCTGTTCATGTCCTTGGTCCACTTTTTAATGGTATTGTTTTTGTTTTGCTTTGTTTTGTTTTGTTTTGTTTTAGACAGAGTCTCAGTCTGTGGCCCAGGCTGGAGGGCAGTGGCATGATCTCCACTCACTGCAACCCCTGCCTCACAAGTTCAAGTGATTCTCTGGCCTCAGCCACCCTAGTAGCTGGGATTACAGGCATGCACCACAATGCCCAGCTAATTTTTGTATTTTTGGTAGAGACAGGGTTTTACCATGTTGGCCAGGGTGGTCTTGAACTCCTGGCCTCAAGTGATTTGCCTACCTCAGCCTCCCAAAGTGCGGGGATTACAGTTGTGAGGTACTGCGCCTGTTTTTTTTTTTTTTTTTTTTTCCTGTTTTTGTAAATTTGTTTAAGTTCCTAATAGATGCTGGATGCTAGACCTTAGAAAGATGCATAGTTTGCAAAAATATTCTCCCATTCTGTGTGTTGTGTGTTCACTCTGGATAGTTTCCTTGCTGTGAAGAAACTCTTTAGTTTAATTAGATCCCATTTGTCAATTTTTGCTTTTGTTGCAATGGCTTTTGGCATCTTTGTTATGAAATCTTTGCCCATTCCTATGTCGAGAATGATATTGTCTAGGTCGTCTTTCAGGATTTTTATAGTTTTAGGTTTTACATTTAAGTTCTTAATCCCTCTTTAATTTTTGTATAAGAAATGGTCCAGTTTCAATCTTTTGCATATAGCTAGCCAGTTATCCCGGTACCATTTATTGAATAAGGAATCATTTTTATATTGCTTGTTTTTGTCAACTTTGTTGAGGATCAGATGGTAATAGGTGTGAGTTGTGCAGCATTATTTCTGGGCTGTGTATTCTATTTCATTGAGTGATATGCCTATTTTGGTACTAGTATCATGCTGTTTTGGGTATCATGACCTCCTAGTATAGTTTGAAGTCAGGTAACATGATGCCTCTGGCTTCATTCTTTTTGTTTAGGATTTTAGGATTTCCTTGGCTATTCAGGCTCTTTTTTGGTTCTGTATATGAATTTTAAAGTAGTTTTTTTTCTAATTCTGTGAAGAATGTCATTGGTAGTTTAATAGGAATATGATTGAATCTATAAATTGCTTCGGTCAATTTGGCCATTTTGACAACATTTCTTCTTCCTGTTCATGAGCATGGAATGTTTTTCCATTTGTTTGTGTCATCCCCAAGTTCTTTGAGCAGTGTTTTGTAGTTCTCATAGTAGAGACTTTTGTCCTCCCTAGTTAGCTGTATTTCTAGGTATTTTATTCTCTTTGTGGCAATTGTGAATGGGATCATGTTTCTGATTTGGCTCTGAACTTGAAGGTTATTGGTGTATAGAAATGCTCCTGGATTTTGCACATTAATTTTGGATCCTGAAATTTCCTGAAGTTGTTTATCAGATCAAGGAGCTTTTGAGAAAAGAGTCTGGAATTTTCTAGGTATAGAATCATATTGTTTGCAAACAGAGCTTGTTTGACTTCTATGAAAAACATAGTGGAGTGAAAGAAAACATGTGTCTGCAACAGAAGAGAACAATAAAAATGCCCAAGAATAAATTTAATTTGAATGTGAAGAACTAATATGAAGCAAATAAAATCATTGAGAGGGATACATAAAAAGACTTGAGGAATTGAGGAGTGGCTGTTTCTTGGATAGAGAGATTCTAAAATAAAAAGACGGTTATTGTCCCTCAGTTAAGATGTAATTTAAAAATAATAATTAATATATCAACAAGAATATTTTAGCACCTGATCAAATGATTCTGAAATTCATCTGAAAGACAAACGTGTTAGAATAGATAGAAAAGGAGAAAGCAATGAGGGAGGGCAAGCATTATGTCACATTTCTAATATAATTAAGTGATAGTGATCAAAATAGTATAGTAGTGGTACAGTTATAAATAACTCAATGAAAAAAATTAAAAGAGAGTTACATACAAAATTCAGTGGGGATGTAGGAGATGATAAAAGAGCCACTTCAAAACAGTGGGTGAAACAGGGATTCCACAAATAATGTTGATTCTCTACCACTTTAACTTTGTCCGGTTAGATCCATGATTTTGAAGGTACAATAATGTAGTAAAAAACTATGAATCTCTTATTGTATTGGAGTGGGTACGATCATTGCAGGGATGATAGCAAACTCATGAAGGAGGCAAGAAAATGATTTATGAGAGCATATGTAAAATAGGTATTAAAATATTTAATATTTATTTCTATCATGATGAATTTTTCGGAAACACATTCTTCCCTAAGAGTAACCTGGGGCTCATATTCTCCAAAGCCATTGGAAGTGAAAAAAAGGTTGGGTGGGGGAAAAAGAAAAGTGCTTTGCAAGTTCATTTTCATTGTCAGGAGAGCTTGTGGTTTAGGTTCTCCACAGAGGCAGGAAAACGTCAGTCACGTGGGGAATACCCCACTCAGTGCGCATGCGGCACAGACCTGTTGCTGCGCGTGTCCGTTGCTGCGCGTGTCCGTTGCTGCGCGTGTCCGTTGCTGCGCGTGTCCGTTGCTGCGCGTGTCCCTTGCTGCGCGTGTCCCTTGCTGCGCATGTCTGTTGCTGCGCATGTCCGTTGCTGCGCATGCGCCTTGTTGCCCACCTTTGTCCACGTAGAGTTCTGTAAGGAAAAGTCCTTTCTTCATTCTTTCCGCCATCTTCATTCTTTCTTACTGACTGAGACTCAGCCGGTAGGTCCACAGGTCGGTCTTGGGAATTTAGTTGTGAGTGAATGTGAGGAGCCAGCGAGCTTCGGACAGGTCCTGTGGCACAGTCCGTGGCTTCTGAGGGAAACGTGCCTCTTGGCAGTCATCTGGCTTCTCCCAGGTCGTGACTCCGCCATGGGTCTTGTCGCTGGGCTGGGATGAGGGAGGAAGGTGAGCCGCGGAGGGGGAGAGACACGTGAAGATGGGGCGAGTGCTGAGAAAGCTGTTAGAGGTGTCTGAGTCCCGAAAAACTCCTGGAACCCTCTGAGGGAGGACAGCTTCCAGACTCCTCGGTAGGGACGTCATGGGTGGTAAGGAAGGGGCTTGGGAACTGGGAACGCTGTGGGCTGGTGACTGTGGCCCTGAGGTCTGTAGAGTGCCTGGCAGAGGTGTCCTGTGAGGAGCATAACCTTCACTGTGTTGCAACTTCTCACCTCCGCCATGGACATCATGGGAAAGAATGGGCGAAGCTGTGCATTCCAATAAGCCATGATTTTTTGGGAGGCGAGGGTTGGCATGTGGAGGAGAAATGGGCCTAGTTAGTCAGAGTTGGGCAAAAGCAGTAGTCACTTCAGTTTCAATTCTTGGCCCATATTTTCAAAAACGTGTTCATGATGGCGAGTCTAATGGTGAAACCAAAACTCTTAAAAATTTAAAAGTCCCCTTTCTTTTACTATGACATTAAGGTGATTTCTATGCTTGTTTCACTATGATGTAAACAAATCGGTACTATTTTGATTGGAAAGCATGCGTGCTTATCATTGCCCTGTGACTCATTTTGAAAATACTTTCAAAATTAAAAAAGTACAAATCATTATTTTGCTATGGAATGTTCATATATATGTAGTTAAGTTGTTACACACATTTTTCATATAACAATATTCTATTTTCAGTGGTAGCTATGAGTGAGCATGTGAGAACAAGACCCCAATCCTCAGAAAGAGGAAATGACGAAGAGTCTTCCCAGCCGGCTGGACCTGCGATTGTGAGTCCTTCAACATTTGATGTTTCCTATTAACACAATTTAGTTTTAAAAATATTTCTGAGCTAGGGTACATGAACTGATACATGTCTTCCATGCTGATAAAAAATATTAATGGCATCTCATGAAGGAAACTTTGGTTCAGGAGTATTATATTCTGGTGTTGCCTGTATGGATATGGATATAGATGTGGATATTTCACTATGTATACATATGTATATATAGTGGAAAATGTCATTAGACTTATGATTGACTTATTATGCACAGATGCATTGTGTGTATTAATATTACTGACTTTTTATTTGCATACAAACTTATACCCTTAGGTCCAGCAGCCCACTGAGGAAAAATGTCAAGTGGAGCCACCAACTGAAACTCAGGGTATTGCACCCAGTGGGGAGATCAAAAGTGAAGGAGCACCTGCTGTTCAAGGTGAAGGGAGAGTGAAGAATAATGATTGTGGGCGGTGGAGATGTATTTATGCATTATATTTTATGACATAGCAGTAACAGGAGGACAGAAAACATTAGGAAGGAATCTTAAACATTTCCTACTGCTGCTGTGGGGAGGGGTGGGACAAGGATGCATAAAAAGCCACAAAACTTTTCTACTGTTTTGATGGAGGTTTTTCATTGATTGGATATTGGCATGGTTGCCATAAAACTCTGAGTATTTTCCACACCTCTTGTATGGTTTTACTCCACAAGTTTCTGCCTTTTTTTTTTTTTTTAATGTTTCTGTGGAAGAATGGCAGCTTGCAGCTTCCTAGTCTGCCATTTGCTGACAGATCATGTATTTTTTTGATACTTTTTTCACACATTTATTAATGCTTCCTCATGCCACATAATATGCTAAGTGCTGGAGATGTCAGTGCTAAATTTCTGCATAAAGCTCATAGTCTAGTAAGACTGACTCAAAGAAATCACTGATTTAATGTGCTAAGTATAACAAATGAGTACAAAAGGGACGAGTAAGGTGTCTAGGGCCAACTTTGGGAAAGGAAAGGGAAGTCTTTGAAAATCTCTGCTTTCCTGTTTTTTGGCAACAGACTATTGAAATAATTAGGCTACAGGTTTTTATTTCACAATGAGGGAATAAATATTAGCATTTCCTCATTCATAGTTCATGTTTTAATTTGTAAATTGATGACCTTTTTATCTTTAAGAGCCTGATGTGGAAGCTCTTCAACAGGAACTAGCTCTGCTTAAGATAGAGGATGAGCCTGGCGATGGTCCGGATGTCAGGGAGGGGATTCTGCCCACTTTTGATCTCACTACAGTGCTGGAAGCAGGTATGTCATTCACTAAGATGCAAATTATAGGGTTTCTCTTTTCACAGTATTATATTTTGCATGACACACAGGTAAAATTACTACTATTTTATTAGCATGCTTCACATATAACAAGTCTTTGAAGATAGCTCAGACCCCAAATGGTTACCTTACACATTATCAGAGATAGAGGGCCAAGTGTGGTGGCTCATGCTTTTAATCCCAGCACTTTGGGAGGCCGAGGCAGAAGGATCACTTGAGGCCAGGAGTTCAAGAGATAGAGAAAAATTGGGTCAAAGCTAATTCAATCACAATATGAAAGATATGAAACATGCTAAGAGAGGAGATTTCAAGTGTCTTCACAGCTATGTGAAGTAATGCACATGCTATTTCACTATATATATATATATTTTTAATATATCATGTTGTGCATGATATATATGATTTCATGTGTCATTTTTAAAAGAAAGATATGAAAATGTTTTCTGACTTTTGAATGTAAGTCATTTAACCAACAGCCATCAGTTTTCACATATTTTGATAAAGGCCTGATTTTAACAAATACCTAACTTGTTTATAATAATCATCAGTTTATATTGTGATGTTAACTATGATGGTAATGGCTTGAAGCTAGCGTGGGTATTTAGTTTACTGAATAAACTGAAATGCTCTTAAGCATGTAAAGAGGCAAAAGTACCGGTGAAAACAGTGACAAATGGTCACCCTACTTAAAGCAGCGGTATAATGGGTAAACTAGTCCAAAGTAACATTTTTACACTTTTCCACAAGAGACACAAAACAAATGTAATACTGACTTTTCTATTTACTTCACTTAGGCAGTTCTAAGCATATTCTATATTCAGAGTGTTATTTCATATCAAAATATTTAAATGGTACTTTTAAAAAATTCTTTTTTTCCTTAGGTTTTTGTTGAGTTGAATTTTTACTGAAAGTGTATGCATGTTTTTGCTTTCTACTTATACATAAAAAATAGATTCAGTTGATTTAATTCATTCTGAACTCAAATAGTCTCTTTGTTTCCATATTGTACTAGAAAAAGTGGCATGAATTAAATATATTGTTAATATGCCTGGAAGTCTACTTTCAAAGTATATTCAAAGGCTAACTGGATGTAAGCTAAAGGGTCACCCTTAAGGTTCTGATTTTAGCTAATCAACATTGTAGTTGTATACCTGTAGTGTCATCTAAATAAAAATCTGCTGAGTAACATGCCCTAATTTTATATTTGTATTATAGGTGAAGGGCAACCAGAGTTTTAAACCAAGACAAATGAAGACTGAAACCAAGAATGTCGCTCTTATGCTGGAAAGTTTACTGCTGACATTCTTTTAATAAAGTTTTACATTTTTCTGCAAAGAATTCTTGCACACTTTTGTTAAATTTATTTCCAGGTTTTTAATACTCTTGAGAATTATATCTATTTTGAAGTTTTAAATCCTGTGTTCGAAATGGTATATAGAGATAATATATTGATTTTCCATCCTGCAACCTTGCTGACTATGCTTATTAATTCCAAAAGTTAACCTCTAGATCTTTTTGGATTTTTAACATATACAATCATATAACCTTTGAATAATAAGAGGGTTTTTTTTTGCCATTTTTAATATTATTCCTTTTATTTACTTGTCTCATTCATGTTAGTGGACAGAATTTCCCAGTACAATTTGAATACAATTGGCAATTGTAGACATCCTTGTCTTGTTTCTGATCAGAAACAGATCATTTTCCACATTTCACCATAATGTTTACTGTATTTTTCTTGTGGGTGCAGTTTATCAGAGTAAGGAATTTCTATTCCTGGTTTGCTACGAGTAGTTATCTTCAGTATATGTTGAATTTTATCAAACACTTGTAGTGCATCTATTCTGATGATCATAGGACTTTTCTTTATTAATTGGTTTCTGTGGTAAATTACATTGAAGTTTCTACATTACATCTCTGAGCTCCCATTTTCATCTTACCATCCCAATAAAACAGTTCTTCAACAAAGGACTTCATTCAGAGTCCACAGTGCTTAGGAAATGCCAGGGGATTACATATGTTAATGATTTTTACCCCTACAGAGTTTTAAGTATATTTCTTTGATCCAAAAAGATTTAAGATCTATGTTCCAAATTAAAAAATGAGCCTAAATTTAAAGGTATCCCAATTTGCCACAAAATATGTGAGGCATCCATAAGCTGAGGTAAAGTTTCTTGAGTCATATCTGTACTGTCTCTTTTTGGCCAAGGTATGAAACAGCCGTGGGTTTCCATCCTGGTCCTGAAATATACTGGCTGGAAAATGTTCTTAAATTATTCAGATCTGCATCTATATTTCTAAAATAGAATTGTAATGTGTATACTAAATTACTGCTATCATGAATAAGTGAGCAAACCTATATGGAGGAGATATTACATTATAAATAGATTTGTCTCATTAGATTACATTTTTTCATTAAAATTTTCTTTTTTTCATTTTTTAACCTTTACAATTATACTTCTAGCAAGCAATATTGCTTTTGAATTTCAAGTAGGGGATATCAAATTAACTTTTTGATGAATTTGATTTAAACTGATTTAAACTTTCTTTTTCTTTTTTTCCTTATTGATTTTTTATTTTTTAAATTGAATATATTAATAGAATGATGTAGTTGGCATCAGACCTGGCATCAGTTCTAAAGTTGGTTTGCAAGTTACCCATACCTGGCAAAATCTGCTCTAAGTATTGTGTGCTGAAATCACACTTGAGGTGTGTGATGCCAAGGAAGGTAAGTCAATATTCTGGTTATGCACCACCTTATGACTCACTACCAGAGTCTGTCAAGTTGTCAAGCGGTTCCTAAGCAGCACTGCAGTGTCTAACAGCCACAAGTATCACTACTGGTATTATTAGGTTAGCTTGTCACACTTCCATAGATTTGACTTGTAAGGTGACAATATGCTTGATGCATCCAAACATTTTATTAACTTACAGAGAAAGAAAAAGCAAGATCAAATTGTGTCAGCTTCCTATGTCTCTAGTTCTACAGCATGGCACTGAATCAGATGTGCTCAGTGACAGACAGCCTAGGTGGTGGGTCTCTCCGCCAATGAGGAGCCCATAGCCATAATCTATGACAGTAAGCAGTTTTGTAGCCCACAACTATAAGTTGGGGCTAGAAGGAACGTCCTGTGCCCAACTGAGACTAGGGAGATGGATGAGTAATGGCCTTGTGTCAGGCTCCAGCAGTATAGGGAGGTAGGTGAGAAATGACTTCATGCCAGCTACTTACCATGCTGCTGCTTTTCCCTTGTTCCAAGAGGAACCACTGGGTGTTCTGTTAAGACTCAGCTCCGTCTATAGTTAAGTCTATATACCTGGGCCTATCTGGCGAGATGCAGAGTTTCCAGGGCACCATAGCAGAGTCATTCCCCTACAGGGTTTGTCACCAAAGACTGTATGTGTGGGACCTTCAAACGACATCTACAATAATGACTCCAAAGTGAGGGAGATGCTTTCCACTGCTAGGGTCATTATGAAATATTAATTTGATACACATGCATTAATGCCTGCCATGTTAAGGAAGTGTTTGGGATGCTGAAATTGAAAAGTACTTGCCATGAGGGATACCACACTCTAGTTTGAGAAACAGCCACATAAATAGAAAACCAGTTGAAGAGTAGAAGAACACAGGCAAGGGGCCCATAAAACAACAAAAACAATGAATACTGTAGCCTAGAATCAAGAGTCAAAGGGAAAGAACGATTGTGAGAGTAAAATAACTAGATTGGACTTCCCATATCTGTTGATTACTGGGTTTATATTCTTGATTTTTTTTTTTTTGCCATAAGGTTGAGTGACATTTATGCCTTACACTTATAAATACTAAAATAACCAGATAGACAGTCTTGTGTTGATTCAAAAAATGTTTACTGATGGACTGGTCTGTTCTTCAGCCCCTTTGGATATGAGAAGATCAGTGAATTTGCCAATACAACCCTTAACTGAGGGCCAATCTGACCAGGATGTCCAAGATTTGTTATGAACATAAAGATAGGAAATGTGCTAGTACTAGGCACTTCCAGACAAAGTGTGGGATGAAGGCCAGAAACACCTGCCTAAGAGAACATAAGTTTGGAAAGATAGTTCTGTTATTTGTCATTTGCAATGTACTATTCACAGTAAACAAATTGCTGGTCTAATAATGGCATATTTGGTTAAGTGGGTAGCACATGTCACAAACATGAAGACAAAAACCCAAAACTTGCCTGATAACCTAGGAATCAGGCTCTGGGCATTAGTCTAGACAGAGGCTAAGGACATAGGAATGGTTCATGCAGGGTAACAGTTCTTAGAGCTCAGAGTCTAATTAGTAGAGAACCATTCTGAAGATTATGACAATACAAACGTAAAACAAGCAATGACAGGGATGAGCCAGGGGATGCTCAGAACATAGAAGCTGGCCCTGTAAACCCAAGTGGTTGGGAGGAGCTTCTTCCAGGGCATGATGTGTGTGCTCTAGGTAGTTTCACTGTAAATAGCTTTTAATCTCTCTGGTTATTATTCCCCTTTTCATAAAAAATATAAATCTCTCCACTCAATTATCTCTTTTTAATAGATGAGGTAGCTAAGGATCAGAGAAGGTAAGTATCTTATTCAGGTTCAAATCTTTGGCCAGTGGAACAGCCGGTTTTCAGCCCTTTCAGTTTACATGCATCTTTTATTATATTAGGTTGGTGCAAAAGTCATTGCAGTTTTTGCTATTAAAAGTCATGAAAAGTAATGGCAAAAACTGCAATTCTTTTGCACCAACCTAAATAACAATCTTTTTGTACTTAATACTGTTATATTTTAATTAACATTCACATGCTATGTATAGTTTGCTTTGCTTGTCCCATAAATTATTTTTCTTGAATTCATTTGCAGTCGTAGAACTTTATTGCTAAACAGGCAAAACATTTTTCAAAGTGGACTGTGCCACTTTGCATTCCCACTAGCAGTAAATCAGGGCTATAGTTGTTCCATACCATCATGAACACTTGGTATAGTCAGTTGTTTCAATTCTGGTCATTCTAGTAGTTGTGTAGTAGTATATATCCTCTTGTTTTTAATTTGCATTTCAATATGTTGAACACTTTTTTTTTTTT